TCTTATTTTATTCAATCTTTTTGGTCAAATACCAAATTTTCTTTCAAATCGTACACTTTTTTTTAGTATAGATAGTATTTATTTACCTCATGATATGCTGCAAAACCTAACTAATCACGAATTTATAATTTTATGTACTCTTGTCTCCGATTGTACCTCTTAAACATCCTTAAATCTTTTAAAAATATGAAGCAAACCTGGAGAAATAGGCACAAATTACTAAATAGTAAATAGTTTCAAGGTACATTGGATATAACACAAATTCATTATGATTTATTACATCAACGAATGAATTTTGGTTAAAACACGGCATAAAGTATTCTAAATAACAAATGCAAGATAACAAATGAATTGTAAATTGCCAATTGTCACGGTGGCCAACTGAGATCGAAGGACGTTTATTTGCTAATGTCCTGTTTCAAATGCAACACTATTTGCAAAACAAAGAAGATTTAATGGTTTGATTTGGTTCCAACGGTTACAATGAATGTAATCTATTGCGATAATACTACAAACACCACGACCTTCTTTTGTAATAAGTTAGCCTATTTACAAATTGTAAAACTGAACAATCATCTGATGTCTGAAAAGATAATTGTGAGAGAAATGCTGTAAAACTTACTCAAACCATATGGGAAGTGTTCAAAGATTAAAAAACTTAAAATTGGTTCTGCGTTTTAAAATTAAAAAACATCTAAAAAATTCATCGTGGCCATTGTCCACATAACATTTTAAGTGTTGATTAAACTCGCATAGAGTGTAACTTTAAGGCAAACACCCACACACACATCGGATCGGACAGTCGGAACGGAACAGAACAGAACAAAAAAATAAAATACATACTAGCGGAAAGAACGACCGGCATTTTAAAATACCGCCGGAACTCCGAGAATCAGAACCAAAATCTGTCCGTTCCGTAACGACGCCGATGAATGTACGATACCTTTCGAATTATTTCGATGAATTTCGACATATTTCACTTTTTATGTCTTATATACCAATCTATTATTTTTAAATTTCCTTTACCACTTTCCATCGGTACTTCTATTAACGATTAACACTAATAACAAGCTAAATTCCGCGAATCAATTCCGACGGATGCACCGATAATGCTGGGCGTCCACTGCGTGCCGTCCGTCCGATTCCGATGTATGTGAGCGTGCCTTTATTAACGGTAAATAAGTATACTTAACACCAGCACAAGCCAAGCGTAAAATATGAAAATATACGAGGCACCAACACCACCTGCAAAATGTACTTGTGTGCTAATACTGCGGATATTTCCGGATTTTGTTGTAATTTTAATATAAATATGTAGCACAATTAGTAGGATTTATTTTTCTTCGTTTCCAGTTGCAAAAATGAAAAATCCTATTATTTTTTACGGGTTTTATATCAAAATATTTAGTTTTCTCGTTACATATCGCGCGTTTTCATCATAAACGTTGTAAGCTATGAAAGTGCAAAATTACTTGGATAAAAAAGTTAATGTTCATTTCGTACGTAAGTTACGGCACAATATCGTATAACGACTCGAGAAGAAGAACAATAAGGAAGACGAAGGAGAAAAGCTGAAACAAGTGTGTCTGGGGAAAAAGTTACTGCTGTTTCTTGCAGAATAGACAATTTCGTGGAATCGTACTAGAACAAGAATGGCTTTTACAATCGTTGTGGTGGAAAATGGCCTATTGCTGCTTCCTTCCCTACTCTATACGACTTTAAAATAGCACAACTAAAGATGGTTATCCAAGGGGAATAACTCAGCCACAAATTCAAAATGTATAGACTTCTCCGAAGTGCTTTATTCGCCTTTGAATAGGTTAACATTTTTCGAAACGAAATAAGCACAAAACTCAAAAATGTTAAAGGAAAACCAAATCGTGGAATCAGTAGGCAAATTACATTTTATTGTAAATAAAAAAGCATTATTATTAGCCAAAAAAAAACAACTATTCCCACTACTACAGATGCACATAACATCTGTAGTTAGCAAACTACAGGTGGCGTTTACTGCGCTATATGCACATGTTCATTGAACACAGTCGGCAGGTAAATTAGTAGGTGCTCGGCGGAATTAGTTGCGGCGTGCTAATGAGAACAATTCGATTCGAGATTTTTATCCATATTTAACCAGTAGCCACAAAGAGCTTTTCGTTTTAATTTAATAACTAATAAGCAGGCTTTGTCTAATTTCTATTATAACGTAACAATAGAAAACAAAAATTAATTTTTCGTACGATTTCGCAAAAAATTAGCTATTGTAAATTATTCTGCAGACGTTCATGTTAAGTTATGTAATTTAAAAATAAGTTTAGTGGATTCACAGTTCGCTATATCGATTTTTTTGGAAATGTGGGAAACCCAAATATAAAAACTAAAAAGACAAAGGACAGACATTAATTCTCTGTAAAGACTTCTATGTTTTATTCTATAACAGATCTTAAAAAGATTTTTAAAAAGTTCCTTTTTAATACTTTTAAAATTTTAATTAAGCTAATTAGAGAGGCTTCTTAAAGATTTTGATTGCGCTTTTTCTTTCGTATTGTAAATCAGCCGTCATGAAATCCTTTGCCTTCTCAGTAAATACGTATAAGCACATTTAAGACCCTTTGTCTTTCGATAAAACTCGTTAAACAGTTAAATGTATAAAATTGCACAACAATTACTTCATATTATTACAAGCTGTTGCCTTCGAAATAAGAATTCTCTTTCGCAATATTTTTGCCGAAAACACGTACCAAACAAAGTAATTTGAAGTTTCATAAAACATTATTCTCTTTTCTTTCATTAGTTTGACGTTTAGTTCAGTAAATTAATGTCAACAACAAGCACTTTTCCCCGAAGCGAGTTCTTATTAATGGAATAACAGAATAAATATGTCTCTCAAGAGATCTACCACAAGTCACGACGTTGCTTGAATGAGTAAAACGAAAAGAAAATTAAATAAAATTAAGGAACAAAAAAGAAAACGTTAAGAGCATTTCATGTTTTCTAATGTATTATAAACAAAAACTTATGCACGTAATTTATCATTTCATTACAGCGAAAAGTAATGCCAATTTAGAAGTAATTCTCCTATATATGAATATTCATGTTGAAATTTATTCTTTGCGGTTATTAGAACAGTAGAACCTCTATAACTCGAACATCAAGGGAGACGCCAAAAAATTCGAGTTATAGAGTTTTCGACTTATGGAGGATTTTGATTTGGGCGGATTTTGATTCGACTTATAAAGGTTAATATTTGGTATACTTACATTGTCGGAAAATATTTAAAAAAACTTTAATTGTAGAGGCGAACTCACAAACGTCAGACTAGACGTGACTATGACGTATGATGAATGACTACGAAATTTTTAAGGTTATATACCTAAAAAACACTTATTTGCACCGAAAAAAGCATTAAAACACCTTTCCTTCGACGTTTTCTTATGAATTTATTATAAATACACCTTCTTTAACTAAAACCCGTACTACAGGAGTTGAATTATTAATGAAAATTGGGGTAGCGACTATGAAAATGAGGTGTGAACTTTGACGTGTGATCTACAAATATTAATTTGCAAAAAAAAGCGTTAAAAAGGCCCTCCCCCGGATTATTTCATGTAAGTTTTTCATAATCAGGCCATTTTACGTCATTTCCAGCAAAAAAAACTTGCATTTTCGAAAAAGCCGCGATTCGGAAGTTTTACCAAAAAGGTAATTTTCGTGAAGACCCAATTTTTCCGAGCTAATTTTCTCTTAAAATATTCAGTCTGGTCTATGACCCCATTAGCAACCATGCAGCTCCATATACCATAGCACGATTCTGAGTTACGCCATTTCGTAATTTTACTTGGTTATTACTAAAATTAAACTTTCAATAAAATTTACAGTTTTTCTAATTGTATAGCGAGGCACACGGCTAACAGTCGAGTCAATGTAAGTACAATGTGAATACAATAAAAGGTCACGCGCATGCACAGGCTCATGAGATTTTGAACTAACTGTAGATACTATGAATTTTGTAGGCAAATGTGTACACGTTCAATAAATAACATTTACCTTTTCGTAAGACCCTAGACATCTTGCAATGTGAATTCATCTTAAGCGTATTATGCATAAAGGATTTTCCCAACAGCATATGTAAGTGTACCCATTTTTATTCTCCTATTTGTATGCAGGGCACATATGGTACACTATTTACACAAATGTGAATGTATCCAACATATGCGGGAACGAAATATTATTCAAGTGCATATAGCGTAAATATGACGCTTGAAATGATGCAAAAACCAACAATGAAAGCATTCAAATGAAAATCCCTTTCGTATTAATAAAATAATATATGGTGATATCAAAAAACTGATTGACGACCCTGTTCGTCGTAGAAATCAATAAATAAATATAATAAAACAAATACGGTTACCTACGGGGTTTTAGAAAATACTACAAATAGCGCGGTCAACGCCATCTGTAGTACGATGCTACATTTTAGGATTGCGTATGCTCCTATAAGGTCCACTTGTGTGGATATCTACTTGCAGATGGCGTTTACCGCGCCATTTATGGTATTTTCTAAAACGCGCTGTTAAGACAGCAGGTAAAAGTTGGTCTGTGTTCTGTCGGGCTGTCTGCGACGCGCCGATGAGATCCAAAAAGACCGAAATCGCGATCCACGTCTGGCAGTTTCGACAGAATACAGACCACTTCGAATTATTATACCATTTCAAATTAAAAAATTAATAACTATAAAGTCTTGCAAGTGATTATTTATTGAGTTGCCTGGATTCTGACAACGTTTATGCAAGCCAAACAGACAGAACATTCAGCAGACCGATTCTCGAACATTACAAAAGTTTCAAAAATAACGACGCCACTTTCGCAAAACATATGATTAATAATAATCCTAATTTTAATCAGGAATACAAACATGAAAAAAAAAATCGCGAAGTCAATTATAATTTATAATGTAATAGCAATCGAAGTAAACGTCAAATTAAACTCGAAATACACCTTACCTTCCTAATATCATCTAATGTGTGTATTTCCGGCGACAAGCCCCCATGCACGCAAAGAAACTGCTGGTTCATCAGGGCCGCCAGAGGCAAACAGTCGAAGGCTTCCATACAGGCATCGTAGACACGCTCCGAATATTTTATTTTACCTGAAACAAAACAGAACAAAATTAGAATTATAAGCACCTACACGTATAAATAAAAGTAAAACAAAAACACTGGTATGCAAGGGAAGAAATAGTAGGGAAAGAGCGAATATAAAGATAGGACACGAAAAATTAGAAGACGTGACTGATTTTAAGTACCTAGGAAGTCAGATAAGTCAGGATGGAAGAAGTAGAAGGTATATAAAGCAGAGCATAGCGCAGGGCATGGCCTAGAGGTCTAGACCATTGCTTAGCGTTCGGGAGGACGCGGGTTCGATTCCGGGCCGGTCTGTGTGTCGTGGTTCAAGTTTTTCTGTGGTTTCCTTGGATCACTTAGACATATGCTGAGGCAGTAATATTCCACAGATAATCTTTCACTCTCTTCTGTCTTCATTTCGTCCGTCTCATCTTTCTCACCCGAACAACCACCCACCCATTCCCACGATTCCTGAAAGCAGACTGAAGAGGGCCTTCCGCCCTACCTTCCGGCATACTCCGGAGGGACTGCCCGCCCACCAGCATTACTAGCTGGTGGGAATGAAACACCCAAAAGTTTTTTTTAAGTTTTTTTTTGCAGGGTTGAGTTGTCTTCAATAAAAAGAAGTCACTTCTATGCTCGCGTTAATTTAGAAATTCGAAAAAGATTGTTGAAGATGTATGTTTGGGTAGAGGCGCTGTTTGGGTGCGAAACATGAACGGTGGGCGCGGCGGAAAAGAAAAGGTTAAAAGCGTTTGAAGTGTGGTGTTACAGGCGAATGATAAGGATACCGTGGATAGAAAAAGTTAGAAATGAAGAGTTATTAGAAGAATAGGAGGACAAAGGACTCTGCGGAAGTTATTAAGAAATAGGCGGGATAGGTTGGTAGGGCACCTTCTTAAGCATGAAGTTCTAGTCAGAGACATATTAGAGGTACAAAAGGGAGATGCGGCTGAAGAGGACCCTAGTTGGTCCTAAAACGGCCTGAGGTAGAGGGGTTTTAGTCGGTAGGTCCGAGGACTTCTTCCTCGGGAATCCGATTTCCCCTCTTCCACGAAAACATAAAAAAAAAAGATAGGAGTAGAGGTAGACCTTGATTAGATTACTGTTCGCAAATAGTTGAGGGTGTGGGATGTTCTAGTTTTAGGGAAATGCGAAGATTAGCTCAGGATAGGAAGGAGTGAAAGTCCGTGTCCAACCAGTCTTAAGACTGAAGACCTTATAAAAATAAATGTAGGTACATATTTTCTAAATACTTACATTCTTGTTTAAAGGTGAAATACTCGGTGAGATGCCGACACTCGTGATTGCCTCGTAGTAAGAACAACGTGGTCGGGTAGCAGAGTTTCAGGGCCCACAGGTAGAGGACGCACTGCCAACAGAACCACACCACACTGTAAACCAACAGATCATAGCCTGCACCTTGCCTACTTTTCAAATTACATACACACATACACATCAGGGCAACAGCACATACAAAAGTGTTCAAGCAGCCGGGATATAGGTACTCATTATATTGATAAATACAAAATGGCGAATTATCACAACATATCGTTTCATTTGTAGACACGCGTTACACCCATATGAATATTCGACATTTTCGACGCGAAAGCCTCAACTGAAATAGACGAAACCATCCCGAAATTATGGAAATCAGTTTTCATTTTATTATTTTATTTATTGCAAGTTGAACTCGACCATTTAGACCAGGGATGTTACGGAGCTTCGACTCCGGTTCCGTTAAGTCGGAACTTCCGATTATTATTACACCTTCGGTTCCGACACTTTTAAATCGAAGGTTTTAATCGGAGGTCGAAGCATAACATAGCGGCGGCGCAGCGGCCTATGTCGACTGTTATGAACAGGTGTATAGTATGAACTTCATACTACGTGCACTGAGCACTCTATCGTCAATTATTTTTTCATTGTTTGTGTTTTATTTTATAATTGAAAATTGAAATGAAAAAAATTTGACTAAATAATGTTTTATTTATCCTTAAATAAAAATTCTCTCTCATGCCACCATTTCTGACTGCCTCCGACTCTGATTCCGACTCCGATAAAGCAAATTTAAAAACTCCGACTCCGCCTTCAGTTCCGATAAAATTACCTCCGTTACATCCTTGATTTAAACGCATGGGTACCGTTTCCGATGGTGAACTTGTATTTTGACCATTGTAATCTCCCAACAAGTTAAAATTTTAAATAGAACTTCCGATTAAACATAACATCCTGAACGTAGATAGGAGGAGCGTTAGTTAATTCCATCTTTTAATTAGACGTTTTAATGGTCAACTAACTCCAAAAAGTCCTTTTCATGCGAGGAAATATGCCTATGGACGCACGAGCATACCTAAGCTAGAACTGTAGACATTAGTACGTATCAGTATGTATGACTCACCAACCCCCTTTTCCCCTTTTTTTTCAATATATAAAGATAAACAAGTAGACTATTAACTATCATATTTTTTGCTAGAAAAGTAGTTCTTTTTTATTTAATAGATGGCACAAATGCAACCATCTTCAGTGAAATGGGAAATTCCTTAAAATTTACCTGATTGAATCAAATTACTCTGAAGTTTTTCAGTTTTCTTTATCTTTAATGAAAAACTCAGTTTCTTTTATTAACCTTCCGCAAGAGAATTTACATCGAATTGTACAAAATGTAAATTTTATGAACAAAAAAGTTCCGTAATATTTCCTCGAGTTCTATCGGTTTTACACATATTTCCTTTGTTCTACTTGGAAACTTCTCTACTTTTTTATGTAAGCAGCATTACATCTCCGTTTTTGAAGTTTCCTCATTCTTTTTCTTAACATTTCTGGGAAATTCTGATAATGTTCCTATTCTCGAATGGTAATTCGAATTCGAATACTACTATGGATAAAAAATTCGTAATATTTGTCCAACTAGTAAAAAAATACGTGACATTTTTCAAACTTCCTGATTTAACCCATTATTATTAAGACTATACAGCAACTAAACATATGCGGAAATATAATTTGAATATTGTGAACAATTATTAATACAATTCCCACAATGATTCAGCTTTCTTGTAAGTACTTATCCAAAGGTTTGCCTTAACATAAAAAAAAAGACAGCTTCCATAAGGATACTTATAATGATATTATTCAAGAAAAAAAATCTAACTACGGCATTCTTTCCCCTAACTTTTCCTGAACATCTTAATAATTTGCATTATTTAAAAGTTGAAAGAGAATTTAATGTAAACAGTACCTAATACTCATAAAAACTCCTTAACTCTAATCATTCCTTATTCTTCTTTTTTCTTTAGACTTTTGTTGGAGATCCCAATTATTTATTTTATAAGGGTTGTGTTTGCATTGTGAAAAAGCAGAACTAATCGATTTTCTAATTCATATAATCTAATATTCCGTTGCTCTCTTCGTTACCCGAAAGTAAACCAGCTAAATCACCACATTACACTTTTCTGTCATTGTAGAACAATTTTCAGTTCTTTATATGTCCACATAAGGTGTAATTAGTCAACAAGATTAATGTGCTAATGAGGAAAGCGGACAAACAAGACAATCTACTTAATATACAATAACGTATTCACAAATAAATTCATTATGTAGTTTTTATCAGGAAGAACCGTTTCATCTGACAAACGTCAGGTTAAAAAATCCGACAACCGCTTATTTTCCCACTTACTTATCCCATTGTATGTTTTGATGTATTAAATTAAGGGCATTTCAACGCGTTATTTAACACGTTTGTTTGCAACGACATAAATTGTTAATACTTTGGAACGAATCCAAATGAAACGATGTAATCATTGTTAAGAGACATTTTATTTCCGCAGCTATTTTACGAGAAAAAAAAAAAGAAGGAGAAAAACACGAAGGTAGTTTTCAACAAACGGTAGGTACCTACACTAATGGACTTGTTTAGATAAAAAAAAAGGGAAAAGAAAGTGAACAAAAAACAAATTAGTACTACACTACATGAATCTTTTTCGCACATACGTTCACCATCAGAATCACCGATAATGCACAGTGTTCCGAAACAGTAACAAAAAAAATTCGTTCTTTGATGTACTACATGTTGAAACACAAGAGCAGCAATTAAACTTAGAAATATAACCTAACCAATTAAATCAATTTTTTATTTTCACAAAACTCCAAACCCAATTTGAAATGCCAAAATCTCATACAAGCACCAGTATTTCGCTATAATATATATATGTTAGGCCCGAAGACCGAAAACGGTCAGTGGCCGGAAAAAACGGCCACATCGCGTTCTGGCTGCCTTCGAACGCACAGAACGCGTTTTGGCTGTTTTTAAACGCTCGCAACGCGTTCTGGTAACTGTTAAACAGCCGGAACGCGTTTTGTCAATTGTTGAACGCTCACAACGCGTTCTTAATGTTCGACTTGTATTATTTGCCGCTTTCTACCTGCGTACAATGAGATTTATATTGTAGGTACTTATAAAACAAATGAATTTCAATCCATTTTTCAGTTTTTAGGAAACAATTCAATTATTGACAATTATAATTAGATACCATAGATGGGTTCGGTTTTTCTCGCCGAATCATTTCAACGATATTAAATTTCTTATAATTGTTTTTCAGTTCTAGGAAGAACGCGTTGTGAGCGTTCAACAATTGACAAAACGCGTTCTGTGCGTTCGAAGGCAGCCAGAACGCGATGTGGCCGTTTTTTCCGGCCACTGAGCGTTTTCGGTCTTCGGACCTAACATATACGTACAGAAAGTTGTTCAGGCGATTAAGATTAACCACTGGGCAGATTTTCATCAATTTCCCAAAGAAGACGTACGATAACTATAGAACAAAGGCTTTCACGGCCGAAATCCATAGTAGAATGAAGAGACTTCGAGATATAATCTACGTTCACGTTGTCAACTCAGCACTACCACTGAGAATGTCAGCCGCAGTAGCTGACGAAACGTCTGGACAGAATAGTTCATTTAGACCACGGCCCTATAGCCCGAATCTTCATTCTACTATGATAACTGTAGAGTTTCTTAAGAAAATCTATTGAAGAACGTAATCTACGATCAGAAGCAGACCGGATACTGAGAAATGTAAAAGATTTCAAAAATGTCATACATTTCAAGAACTTGTAAACTAGTCAAAAAAAATCCTAGTCGCTAGATCTTCAAAAGAATAGGAGAACAGAGGACTCTATGGAAGTCAATAAAAAATACGCGAGATAGGTTGGTAGGACACCTTCTCAAGCATAAAGGTCTAGTTAGAAACGTATTAAAGGCAGAAACGGGAGTTAAAAGGGGTAGAGGTACACCTATGCTCTTCACAAATAGTTAAGGATATGAGTTGTTCCAGTTTGAGGGAAATGCGAAGATTAACTTACGATAGGAAAGAATGAAGGTACGTCTCCAACCAGTCTTAGGACTGACGACCTGATGATAATGATAAATATTGATCAGAGGGTACTGACCATGTATTCATCCGTCATATTTAAAAATTGATTCTCAAAATGAGTGGGTAAGTATAGACAAAAAGGGATAAAAGAAAAATATAAAGTGTAAAAAAAAAGACCTTCTGATTGATCTGTGTAGCACTGTGCGGTCGGTGGCCGAAGTAGCAAAAAGCAACAAGGATAACAAGTATTTACGACAATGGTTTGCAGTACAAGAGAAGCTACTGCCTCAAGCTAGAGGCCATTAGTTAATCTGTCAAGGGAGGATCTCGCCCTTACGCTAATTGCCTCGTTTCAAACAAAACACACATTCTCTTGTAGGAAACTTGCGAATGAATTCATTAGGATATATCTACATAGGTACAATGCAAAGATGGATACAATTATCCTTGCAGCAAATTCTGGTAGCTTTACTAACATTAACATATCCCATTTATATTGTACTGGTATTTGATGTCCTAAATACATGTCAAAGATCATCGACGACCATATAAAGCTAATTTTTTTTATCCCTCGAGAAATGTTTTTTTTTCTGGATAAAAAGTACCCTATGTCCTTTTCTCTACTTCTGAAAATGGATTTACAAAATTTCATGATGATCAATTGAGTAGTTAAAGCGTGAAATCGTAACAAACAAACAAACTCACATTTATAAAATCAGTTAAGAATTTCCGAAAATCATGCTTTAATTTAATATCTTTAAGAGCGATTTCGGTAGGAAAAGTATTTTTTTTCTGGATAAAAAATACCCTATGTCCTTTTCTGTACTCCTGAAAATGGGTGTGTAAAATTTCATGATAATCAATAGAGTAGTTAAAACGTGAAATCGTAACAAACAAAGAAACTCACATTTATAATATTAATAATTTAGTATCTTTAAGAAAATTGTCCTCGCCATTCGACAAACAACATTACATGCTAAACTTCTAATTTACACAAGTCTTT